AACCTCTGTGAGGTCATCAATATCTCCATCCACGAACCCATAACTTTTCGGAGGGGACACTGTCCCTTGGTAAAATCGAAATATGCCAACACATAGTGCTCGCCACTTCAGCTATTTATTTGTATTTGCTATGCTAGCAAATGTTAAGAGAACATCCACTTTATGCTACGAGGCAACGCCTCAGTCAGGCCGCCCTCTCCGTATTTTTAACTTTATCGTCTTCATCATGTTAAGCCATGTCACCCTTACCTCTGATAATGCAGCTCACGATGTCTATCTTTCAATTGCTCCTGCAACGGCCTCCTCTGTTACGATTGAAGCTGCCAGTGATTTTTCTGTGCACGCTGTCGAAGCCGCTACTGACACTGCAACCCCTTTCGCTCCCGCTTCATCACGGGTTGTGTAGGCCGCCATGCACCAAGAATTAATTGCGAATCACGAAAGTGAAGTGGTTGTATGACATCGCGATCATCTTTAACAAGAACGTGCCGAAAGATGGATCCTGGTAGACGATTTATCTCTGGCATTCTGGCCACCTCCGATGCATGACTATGATAATGCTGTCCACACCACTGGCGGCACGGCGTGTATAACGAGATGGAGACAACAAGAAGGTCACGATGGCCGTGACGCATCACTCCGGAGCTGCTCTGCGGGTATGTGCGCATACATGATCGTAAAATAATGCAATGTACCTTGTGGTGTCGCGAAGGATAAAATGGACCAGTTGTAGGCGACGAATGTCTTCGTGAAAGCAAGTGATGTCGTTAACATTGTCCCGAAAGCATATTAATCCCGTATCGTCTTCACTTCCATCTTTTCCAATGTAGAATCCATCGTCATGCTATCGTCTTGCCCTTGCGACGTCGCTGATGAACAATACTCCAAACTGGTAATTGGAACACAACAGATGATCGCGAAATTCTACTATTAGCAGAAAGTCTGTCTAGTAGAATGGAGTTTTTAAATAGAGAGCGTTCTCTTGTTAGATTATGGATGTTCTTTTACATTTGGTGATGTAGAAAATTTGCGATAAATTGATAGCCTGAGGGCCACGCATGTGTATTCAGCAGTAAATGTAGATGCATTTGAGTTACCGTGTACACTGAGCCATGTCGCGCATGCGTCTGGTCGAGTTCGGGGTGCCAGGGCAGATCGCAGACTCTTCCTGCACGGTGGTAGCAGCGCCTTTTCTGCCATATCGACACTTCGTCACGCTTGCACTTATGCTTCGTGTCTGTGCACATGTTCTTTGCTCACTCGTGGCCATCTAACAAGGAATCAGACAACCTTTGTCATTTTCAGTAGGCCTAGTTGAGCAGCATGGAACCCTCACAAATTAACACACACACCAGCTTAATGCCCGTTTAATACCGGTGGACACGCACCGACTGCGCTAATGTTTGATAGGTTCTTTGAGCAGCCAATTCTGTGCACTTTGCTCAACGACGTGCATGATAAAGTGGTAAAGAGGTAGTCATGGCATGTCTCGTCGAAAAGAAGCATCTTGGGAGCTGTCTGTTTACTGCCAAGCTAAGTCCGTCGCAAATTTACACGCTGTCGTTACTTCGCACCGTCTTTACAGTTCGATGAATTTCGACCCTTTCCATTCCTCCGCCCGCTCAAATCGACGATGCTAATGGGAGCTGTCGTGCTAGTATGTCCTATCTGAAGATGTCGACGCTTCTATCGCCGGATAGGCACAATGCGACGATGTGCTACCCACTGCAGGGTCCACTGGCCATCGTATGGTTTTGCTGATGCAAGTACACATATGAAAGAGTCCTCGTACCCTAGTGCGAAGCGCTGCGACCAATTCGGAATAACACACCCAGCTTCATGCATGTAATAGCCCTTTGTGGTCGTGTGGAGTCGATGGTGCAACATAGAAGCAGTCCCATCATTGACGACTCGCACCGTCGAAGCTTGCCGCGATTTGGTCGAGATGAGGAGATCTGTCGCACATCACGGTTTTAAATCTTGCTGTATCCACGTCCTCGCGCCAGCAGAGATCGGGATGTGGGTTGCGGTGCGTCGCAATTCGTCTATCCAACACGCAATCACCGAGATTTTGGGATGGGAGGTAGCAGGCAAAACTGCTTCTGATGAGCGTCGTCGATTCGAGCGGGTGGCGGGCTACATGTGTTTACCGAGTAAGAGTCGGGAGAAGGGAAAAAGAGGCGACAACGGGCTGATCTGCGACGTTCTCTAGGCTCGCAATGTACAGGCAGTACAGGTCTCATACTGCTTTGCTGCCGCGAGACATGACACCATGACAACTTCAACATGATGGTCGTTCAGCCGAATCACATGGTTTTGACTGCCTGTCGAGTCGATGTAAAGTCTGCATAATGAACACTGACCGTAAGAGCTACCCAAGCACCAAACTTGCGTACTTCTTGCTGCATGAATAGACCGGCGGTCATTCCCAAACTCCATGTCGATAATGAACAATGGACAAGCGAGGCCCATCATAACTCAAACATAAGACACGCAACGTGCGTGTCAATCGCGAGAAGTGTCGATTCCGAAGGAAAAGGCACTTTTACCATCGCGCCGAGTGAGTCTGCGATTTGCCCAGCTACTCTGGACTCCACCAGATGTACGCGCGACATGATGATGAAGTCACTGAAGATCGAGCCGGACCACTTCCACTGTACACTTGCTGCTGAATAGATCCATGTTTGCGACGTCTTACCATCGACATTGTCGATAGATAGATAGACAGCATGGGATCCCTTCCCATCCTGAAATCTCCAGCTCCAAAGCACGTTCTGCCTGTGACATTCGGGTCGTCTGATGCTGCATCGTGACCGTACCGAACAAGTCGAGACCGTCGCACCGGAATCCTCACTTTGAGTTTTTCCTCGCCTCCATCAAGACCCAATCCGATAACCATGAAGATCTTCGTGTCATCGCTGCTGGCTCTTGCCAGCATCATGACCATGATCGCAGCCAATCCGATCAAGTGCAGTGGCCCAAACGCTCGGATTGAGCCGCCGGTTGGTGCCATCGTTGTGGATCCTACGGGTGATCCTAAATACCAAGGCAGCTTCCGGAACATGATCGACGCTGTTGCAGGACTGGACCGCACGTTGGAGGAGGATCAGACGATCTTCGTCTTCTCTGGTGTTTACGAGGGACGCGTGGTCATTCCGCCTATCAAAGGCAAACTTGTGCTCCAAGGCGCCACGTGTGATGCAACGTCGTATGCGAAGAACCAGGCGACGATCACCCACAAAATGTCGCAGAAGAACTCACCGAAGACTGTGACGAGCGATCACGATGCAGAGACCAGCGCCATGCACTTCAAGGCGAACAACGTGAAAGTCTACAACCTCAACATCGCCAACACGGCGGGCAACGCGGGACAAGCTGTCGCGGCGACTGTGGACGGGACCAACTACGGCTTTTACGGCTGCAAGTTCACTGGGTATCAAGACACTTTGTTGACCAAGAAGGGGCTTATCATGTTTGCTAACTCCTACATCAGTGGCGCCGTTGACTTCATTTTCGGCACCGAGGCCGTGGCTTGGTTCGAGCACTGCGATATCGACTGTATCGATGCGGGATATATCACTGCCAACGGTCGTTCCAGCGCCGACATGGACTCGTATTACGTCTTCAACCACGCGAATATCTACAGCTCGAAAAAGGGGTACAAACCGGGCATGTCCTACCTTGGTCGTCCGTGGCGTCCTTATGCTCGCGTCGTGTTCCAGAACAGCGAACTCAGTGACGTGGTCAATGCCGCTGGTTGGTCGGACTGGAACGGTGACAGCACGGAACACGTAGAGTTTGGCGAGTTTAAAAACACTGGCCCAGGTGCGGCGAAGGGGAACGGTCGACCTGGCTTGGGCACCCAGCTAAAGGCAGCTGTGGCCTTGAAGGATTTCTTCAAGGTCGACCTTAAGAGTCAGTGGTGGATCGACTCAGCGTACGTACACGTGTAGTGCTGCTCTTTGGTCGAGAGCTCCAAAGGTTGTAGTCGTTATTTTCTTGCGCATTAATACACTTCCGCTTGACCTTTTATCGGACATGCATACGTTCATACGAATGTTCTTGGCGCAGTTGACTCGTCATTTGGTTCACAAAGACACTGAGTTCTAACACTATGGCATGGAAGTTAGTGTGGACACGAACTGCTAGATGCAACAGAGACAAGTTGTCGGATGGAATTATTTTACTCGACGACGTCATGCCGTCTGTCTATGTATTTGCAAACCACGAATAAACAGACGGAAGGGGTCCGTCAAGATTTCAAGGGATTGTCCCTCAAACGACGTAAATAGTGTACGACATCCAGCTCGGAAGCGAAAAGGTCGCGGCTTTCAAGTTTCCCCGACATCAATACGGCATTTCTACATACGTTTTCTGTCTTTTAATATGACCGTTGGCCCAGCGTGTTCACCACGGTGTACCGTTTGTAACGGGGCTCCCTGAAGCTTGTACTGGTGACAGTACAAGCTACTTATTCTGATGACAGAATAAGGCGGTGCCGCGTAACTTCACGTACACTCGTACGTGCAGAGGAAGACGGTAAGAAGAAGCGAGTACTTGGTTAAAGTAAAAAGTAGAACTGTATTTATAATAGTTATGTCTGCAATAAATCACTATTTATCTTCATCTAACTATGTCTAAATACAAATGTGTAAATCAACTATCTGCTCACCACTCATTGCGTGCGTCTGTCGTGGCGCGTCTTCGTTGGATGAAATAATGGCCTATATCAACCAATTAGGAACTACTCGTAAGTGCTGCAGAATATTGTCCTTATGACAATATTCTGAGAATATAACTCTTATAGTTATATTCTATCAACAATTTCTTATAAATTGTTATGTAACGATTCACCCCGTTAAAACACCCCCCCCTTAACTATCAGTCACTTTAGTGACTAATTGACTAAATGGATACTCGTCCCAAATCATTTGGGACAGGGTTTGCACTTGTTGGTCCGCGTCCACTTTCCAACAATTTATCGCATGGATAACAAGCCCATGCGATGCGCGAGCAAGGCCGCCGAGAGCGCGTCCGCACGTCTCTGTGCGGACGCCGAAGCAGAAACCGCAGCAACTGATGTCTCATCGGTTGCTGAAGCGACCCAGCCTGTGTCACCTGGTGATGCAGGCGCTGGTCATGAAGACACTCATGTCTTCACAGAGTATGAGCTCGGTGTCTCATACTCTCCTGATACGGAAGACGGATCCGTATCGACGGCGATTGAATCTAAGCCGCCTGCCAAGCGTGGCATGGATGATGCAATGCGTCGTAGCATCTTTGGTTCATCTGATGAATCAGATGAACCATCGCCGAAGCGAAGGCGCTCGAGGTCGCGAGACTCGGGCGCTAATAGTGGTGTCGGTTCTCCTATTGACACCACTTCACAACGAGGTGCCAGTCCTTCTGTCGGCACATCGCAGGAAGAGCGGGACCGCAATATGTTGCGTCTCGCTCCAGAAAAGAAGGCATGGATGCCTCCTAAATCTGTCATGGATCACTTGTCGGCGACGACGAGTGATCGTTATCGAACACGATTGTTCGATTCGTCAAGGATCCATCACCTTGACCCCAGTGCGAAAAACTATCGCGCTGAACATGAATTCTTCATCGATGCTTTCTTTAGACATCGATGGTACAGTGGGAATCACAAACGTGATGGTCCCGCACTGCTTCAGGCGTGGAACGCCTACATCCATAACCTCGAGGATGTAGGTCGTGACGCTTGGAACGACAAACTTATCAAAGCTCGTGATAAGTTTGAGAAGCGAACCCCTACAGGTGCACGCTACAAGCTGCATCGTCTATCAAGGGAGAAAGGATTACCCTGCCTCTCTTGGGGAGACTCGTGCCCGTGTTGTGTGAACAACTCTGCGCGCGCACCTAAGGAGGCTTACCTCCCTAATAGCCCGTGGTGGCGCGTACGTATCTCTATTGAGATGTACGAAGGGATTGACAACTTGAAATCCCTTTAAGACCGTGCCGGGAAGACTTTCTCCGGCGGTCCTTCTGCGGCACAGGATGTGCCGCGTCGTACTGCTCAACCAGACCCAGTACGTCGATCATCAGTTGGGAGCATGGCTCCCAAGAATCCCAGGACGGGGGATAGCCGCGCCACCGGACGAGATAACTCGTCCGACGTCCTTTCACGTCGCGGTGGTTCAACAGCTGCTCAACTAGATAGCGCTGGCCACCGCGAGAGTCCTCTAATGGAGGTGGAGGAGGAGGAAAGACGCTCTCCACACGATCATGTGGATCGGTGTGTTCCCGAGAGCTTCTTTGATCGCGTAACGCAAGGGTTACGCGACGATCTCGAACATGAGCGGAATAGGCGTCTCCAAATGGCGGACACTGCCTCGAAGCATCGAGCTGAGTTTGCCTTTGCTCAGCTTGAGAACGAGAGATCTCTGACATCTCTTCGTGACGAGCTAAGGGTAGCTTGTGTGGATATGGACCGGTCTCGGGATGAGATAACTGCTCTTCAGACCCTTGTCGATGCCCACCATCGGGAGCACAAGGCTCTCTGCGAGATGCTTGAGCGCAAGGGCGTTCTTCATTGGAAGAAGCAGCGTACTGATGGTGCGGCTTAAGCCGGCCAACGTAAAACGTGGGATGCGTTCGCATCTTACGTGGTAATTCGATCGTGTATGCATTGCCTAGGCGGTGCGATACACGAAATGGGCCGATGTACTTGGGTAGTAGTTTACTGCTACCCAAGTTAGTCACTACATGCTTTGGTAGATTAACCGTAGACAGTAGGACTAAGTCACCTTTATTAAATAAAAGGGTGTTTGCCCTTCCATTCTTGTCAGCGTTTTGCTTTTGCTTATCCACCGCTTCGGCGATGGAGTCTTGCACAAAACGGACTACCGTTTCACGAGCCAGTATGAACTCATCTGCTGACTCGTTAGCTTCGGTGCGCTGTGAGTGCACTGCAGCGAAATCAATCGTTTCTTCAGTGAGGGCTTCCGCACTCTCACTGGCATCATCTTCTTCGATATCGGTGTCGTCGATATCGGCATCAAACGCAATCTCCTCATCGTAAGAGCGTGATGAGCGTGAACCAAATCGGTTTTTGCTCGCGCGAGTCCCTCCCCCCCTTAAACTAAAGTTACAATCTAGTAAGGTGGGTACACGCGGATGGCGCAAGCCATTCACGTAAAACGGTGTATGTGTCGTGGACGCATGCACCGAGTTGTTGATGGCAAACTCTACCATTGGCAAAAACTCACTCCAACTCTTAAAGGAGTGTACGTATCCTCGAAGTATCTCTTCAAGGACACGATTGGCACGTTCCGTCTGACCATCTGACTCTGGATGATCAGATGTCGACATCTTCTAGCTCGTTCCGAGTGATTTAAACACGGAACGCCAGAAATCAGCAGTGAAGCGTGGATCTCTGTCTGATACGAGTTCACGGGGCAACCCATGAAGTCGGACGATAAAGACACAAGCACAGCCACTTGCTGTGATTGACTCTGGTACAGCCACAAGGTGTACCTTTTTGCTGAATCTGTCAACAAATACGAGAACACCAGTATTCCCGCGTGCGTCTTTGGGTAACCCGAAGACGAAATCCATTGAGATGGATTCCCAGCACTCTGCCGAAACTGGTAGAGGCTGTAAAGGTGCACGCAGTGAAGGACTCGACTTCACTCGTTGACAGACGTCGCATGCGCGAACATACTTTCGCACAAACTGATACTGGCGAGGCCAGTAAAAGTCTCGACTCACCGTGAGATATGTTTTCTCTCGGCCACGATGTCTTGCTATAGGAGCATCGTGATACTAGAACATGATCCGCAAACGCAGATCAGTATCATCTGGAATGACAACACGTGGTGTGTCACCAGAAACAGCTGTATAATACAGTAAACCGTTGCGAGTAGTGTATCGATCTGATGCAGATCGAGACGCAGACGATAATCGTTTCAACGATTCTCGAGATGGTTGTGAGAGATGTGTCAACAACTTCACAATATCACCATCTTGGGCATACGCCCGCCTCACATCATCATTCAACGTTGTAGATGGGACTGAGGACGTCATAACCGCAACATTGGCTGTCTCACTGTTGGGTTTCACGACTGGTTCAAAGTCGGGCCGACGTGAGAGTGCATCAGCGACGACATTAAGTCGTCCTGGCTTTTACTCTACCGTAAAGTTGAATTCTGCAAAGAATGACAACCACCGCGCCATTCTTTGTGAAAGGTGCGGGCTGTTCACTGCCGTGCGTAATGACGCATGGTCAGTGTAAACAATGAAGGGTCTATCTCCTAATAGATAGACTCTGAACTTCGCGAGTGCATACTTCATGGTAAGGCGTTCCTTGTCATGCACTGGATAGTTCCGCTCAGCTGGTTGCAGCTGACGCGACTGATAGCAGACGACGCGTTCAACGCCTTCAAGATCGTACTGCATTATTGCACAGCCGATTGCGAAATCGCTGGCATCACAGACCACATGAAATGGCCTGTACTGATCGGCTATTGCTAGGACTGGATATTGTATCAAGCTCTGCTTGATACCATCAAAGGAGCGCTGACATTCAGCGTTCCATAACCACCTCTCGTTCTTTTTCAACAAACGAGAGAGGTGCACAGTCATCTCGGCGTAATTGCGTGAATACTTGTGCAAATACGCCGCTAGTCCAAGGAATTTTTAAAGACCTTTGACATCAACCGGCACAGGCCAGTCGGTGATCGCCTTGATCTTTTCGGGATCAGGACGTACACCGTTCTAACCAACGATGCACCCAAGAAGTGGTATTTCACTTGCTGCAAATATACACTTCTTGAGGTTAGCATACAATTGATGCTTTCGCATGATTGTAAGAACCTGTCGGACGTGGTACCTGTGAACCTCAACGTCCGACTTTCCATCCATAGCCCGACTATGGATGAATACGTCATCGAAATAACTCGGCGCAAATTCTCGTACTGGTCTCAACAGATGTGATGCACATCTGTTGACGTGGCAGGGGCATTACTAAGCCTATGTGGCATTACTATCCATTCCCAGAGCATGCCGCTAGGCGTGCTCATTGCGGTATAGGGTATATCCCGTTCTCGCATAAGGATTTGATAGAAGACATCCATCAAATCCATGGACGAAAAGATGGTACTCTTTGACATGCCATCAATGATTACGTCCTTCCTTGGTATCGGCGTCTGAGCCGGTACCGTTGCAGCATTCAATTTGTTGAGCGCGTGCACTATCCGCCACCCTCCTGTTTCTTTTCGCACACAGAAGGTCGGAGAGCTATGTAGGGAAGTTGATTCCCTCACATGGCCCGCAGCTAAACGATCGGCAAAGAACTTGTCGATCGCAAGTACTTGTTCACGAGGCAGTGGCCACTGCTTCATGACACAGTACTTCGAGCCTGGTTTAAGCTCGACTTCGTGTCGAATACCTTTATCCTTCGGTAACTCGCACGGAACAGTTTCAGGGAATACATCCTTGAATTCAACCAAATCTTCATAGAGAGGATTTGTCTTGAGCGATTCCCACTATTGGGAGTCATATCGCTCAACTCGTGTCTTTTCATCTAGGACACTCTTGTCCATAGATGAACTACTGAGAACTCTCTCGTTCTCAGTGAACACTGTTGCTGACCTTATGTCGGTTACACACTCGTCGTCAGCGACGAGTATGCAGATCTGCTTGACTTTGCCACTACGCAGATCACGCAAGAACCTTTTATGTTCGAGCGTTGGCAACTGAGTGATCTCCGAAGTTAACTTCGGAGGCGCAATCAGATCAAGTGTATAAGCGCCTACACTTGATCCGTTATTGACTATGACATTCAATGTCTCTGTCATTTCCTGGGGACTTATTCCCTCAGGCTTCGAAGGATTTATTCCTTCGTCTTCCCGGGGACTTATTCCCTCGGGTTTCGGGGAACTTATTTCCACCGTATTTGTAAAATCGGGACTTATCCCCTTAACTTCCTCTAGCTGTGGTTGTGCAACCACAGCGAGATCCTCTACGAAAGACTCTCCAGTCGATCTAGGATTATCGTTTCGCTTAACCTGGGCGATCGATTGTTTCTCTTCTAGATGTTCCCCGCTAGGGATACATCTTTGTCCCGGTCCACTCGACTTATTCGAGCGGTGGACCTTCGGCGCAGCCTGTGTTTCCTCACAGCCGCCGGAACTTTGCTCCGAAGTGTAACCGTTTGGTACACTAAGGTTTTGTGCAGTCGTATTAACGACCGTACCACAAGTGAGGCCATCGCACTCACTCGTAGTACATCCACACGCTTGTGGACGCTCCAAAACGTTCATCAGATGGCCATCTGATGAACAAGCGGCAGGCATCGTTACTGTTCGATGTTGCCGGTTTACCCGTGGTATGTACCTTCTGAGCCACGGTATTCCAAGGATGACACCAAATTTGTCATCCAAATCCAATACGATAAAGTCATCGTCTTATTGGGTATCTTCTAGCGTATAGTGGATCTTCACTATACGCTTCATGACGGTTACAGATGCGCCTGTCGCAAGACGTACCGTCATCCTCGTAGGAGGTGTGCCACATTCACTAAACTTAAAGTGACCATCTTCTAGCGATTGACGTCGCACAAAATTGTTAGACGCCCCACAATCGACTAGAGCTCGAAGGGACAACTTATTTGTCACTTCGAGTTTCAAGGTAATGAGTGAGATCTCATTACCTAGAGCAGCAACGCACAACGTTTGTGTGTTGGGAGCAACCTTCATCAAGAGGCCTACAAATTCTCTTGACGTTGATGGACCAGTAGGGTGCTCCGCACCTACTGATCCTGTCCGTTTTTTTACGGTTCATCCCGTTGTTACGTCTTTGAACAAACAGCGGACCCGCGTCCCTGCCTCTTTTTCATGGGTGGACGGTCATTACGCCCAGTGTTGCGAGACACTGTACGAGGGGCACTACACTCGTAAGCGTAGTGTCCTGTCTTCTGACATCTGTTGCATTTCTGCAGCTTCTTGTAATCTGTAGAGCGAGCCTTCTCGCTCTCTACATAACAGAGTTCCATCGGCTCTGGACCTCCGTTGTCATATCGTCTCGGTTGACGATATGATGTCGAGCTAGCGCGAGCCTGTCTCAGACTGAATTCTTCCTGTTCCGCAATGGAAATGGCTTGTTCTAGTGAATCTAGTTCAAGTCGGAACAGGTGAGTCTTGACGGGACCATCCGCAAGACCCTACATGAACACCGAAACTAACGTGTGTTCATCAACCGGATTGGAACTTATACAACTCGTGAAATGTCGTATATGTTGCGCGTAAGCGTGCACATCACGCTAACCCTGTTTGAGCTTCAAGAGTTCAGTTCGAGCTCTGAACTCAGCTCCAGGCGGTTAAAACGTTATCTGAGCCGCGACTTGAAGACTTCCAACGACCCAAACGCATATGGGTCGTGCAACTTGAGCCCCAAAGCCCAAGTCTTGGCACGTCCTGCCATATTTGATTGGGCAAATGCAACTTGCATATCCCCATCTTCGATGCGACGCGCCCTTATGGCGTCGTCTAATTCGACGAACCATCTCAAGAGGGAGTCCTCTTCGACCCCCCTATACTTGGAGATGTCAATCTTCAAAATCTCGGGT